CTCGCGCTCCACGCCCAGCTCCCCGCCCGCAGCCGTGGCCGCCGCTTCCTAGGCCGAGGAGCGCGCGCACAAGCCCAGCCGCAGCGCGGCCGGGGGCGGGGCTGGAGGAAGGGGAGGAGCCGCATTCAAGTCCCGCCCCCGAGGCCAGTCGCCTAGGAGACCAGTCGCGCGCGCTCCCGAGAGGCCATGCGCGTCGCGGAAGCTTCTGCCCGCGCGTAAACAAGCACAGACAGAATCCGCCCAGCGACACCCCATCCAGCACACCCCGTCGAACTTGGGGCCGCGAACTGCGCGTGCGCACTGCTCGCCTAAGGCGGGAGCGGCGTCAACCTGAGGCTCCCACGCTCAGGATTTAACGGAGCAAAATAGTAGAAAAGGGACAAGGGAAATCTCCAGTCTTGAATCAGAAGCAGGGAGTGGAAGACAGGTGGAATGTTCAGGGGGAAGGCACAGCGTGAACACGATCCTGGCCGTCCGCATTCCAGAGGATTTTTTATTTTATATAAACATAACGATGTGAACTGTTGTGTAAGGGATGAGCACCTCCAAGCTTCTGAGGTTGCATGAATACAAAAATGAAGCTTGGTTTCAAAGGTCAGGACACTGAGGGAGGGATGGCACCACGCCTGCAGTGCTAGCTTCGGCGCCCAGACTACACGCAGACCCGTCCACGCCCGATGACGTCGCCGCGGTCCCGCCCACTTTTCTCTGGCCCCGCCCTGCAGTGTCAGCCGAGGCAGACTTCTTCCCACGCCCTGTCAGCCTGGGGTGCGTGGAAGAGCTGGAGCCCGGAGTCTCCAGCAGCAGTTGGAAGGCCCGGGGACACCTCAGCAACAGCCTGCTGGGGGTAGCGTGTAGGAAGGAGGGATTCATTCTAGCCAATCAGTAAACGACTGTGGGCCCCATGGTGCCACTCACGACCAATAGAGAGAAATGTTCCACCATGTGATGGCTCCTCCTTCATCCAATCGGGAAAATGTTTAGTCATAGGCTTCACTAACCATTCTCCCTGAGCCTCGCCAGAGTGGGCGTTTGCTTCTGCGCACACTCTGTCAACCAATCACAGGTGAGAAAATGTATGACGGATGTTTGAACTGAGCCAATCACAACTCGCGATTCTCTCGCCTGGGCGAGCCGGTGGTGTAGAGACAGGGCGGGGCGGGTGGGCCTTGGGAGGGACCGAGATTGAAGGGCTGGTCCCTGTGCCAGGTTCTGGCAGAGGCACGGGTTGCGTTGGCGAGCCAGTGATGAATTCAGCCTTAAACGTTGCCTCTGTGCAATTCTACCTAAATGATGGTCCTGGAAATGGAAGCGGTGCTGAGAGTTGTAGCCTGGATCGTGAGCTGAATGGAGAAAACACGACTTTTGTCTAGGCAGAGAAAATGTCCGGTCCTTAAGGAGACCTCCTGCTGCAGTTGCATTGGTCGTCCACGCGTGCTTCTAGAACGTTTCTGTCCTTTACTACTAGTTTTTAAATTCAGCATCTGTCTCTGGCATTAGATTTTAGGGACACACCCTATCCCAGCTCCAGGATCAAATTTACTCGACTTTTTAATCCCAAACGCCATGGATGATGATTTTGGAATAGTTGGTCTTGCATTTATTTTGAAGTGTTTTTTGCTGGAACTGGTCTCCCCTCTTCTGCATCACATCTCTTGAAAATAATTCGTTTGTGTAATTTTAATGTTAGGTTAACGTGTACCTCTCCACTATTCCACTTTCCCGGGTCATTGTAGAGATGATGTTGTTCTGACTTTCTATAACAGACTCCTGTTCTTTTGCCGTTTTTTTCCCTGTCAGTTATCAAACTACTGCAAAGATGTACTCAGATTCAGCGGTAGTCTATTGCCCTTTTGCACCATTACATTAGTATGGTTATCCTACGTTTGCATTAATTGCCATAGATAAGACGTTTTTGATTAAACAGACCTGGGCAAGTGTCTTGTCAATTTTAAAATGTAAATTACCTTTGTCACAGAATAAAAATACAGTTACCTCGGCATCAGTGGAGGATTGGTTTTGGGACACCTCCTTCTTACCAAAATCTTCAGATGTTCAAATCTCATATATAAAATGGCATATTTGCATATAACCTACGCATATCCTCCTGTGTAAATCATCTCAAAATGGCTTATAATGCCTAATCCAATGTAAATGCTATGCAAATAATTATAGAGTGTTGTTTATGAAATAATGACAAGAAAAATGTCTGTACATGTTTTCCCCTGGACACCGTTATTTTAAATTTACAGTTGCCTGATACCATAGATTTAGCAGGCTGACAGTGTAGATCAGTCATTATTTCTTCAGTATGTATTATCAAAATATGAGAAGTTAATTCTGGGCTACCAGAACCCGCAGCAAAGGCAAGCTGTCAAAAAGAGAATCAGGAATGTTTGAAGAGGATTGAAACTGAAGAGGATCTGATATGTTAATCTAGGCTACTAATGTAAAAAAGGAAGTTGAGAATTTACATAGCTGCTTCATGTCTGGTTACTTTGGGGGTTGTTTCAAGATAATGTAGGCAACCTAGCTTCTTAAGTCTTGTTTTGTGTAAAACTATGCTTCCTTGTGATTACTTTATGCTTGCTTTTTTTCCCCCTCAGAACTGGGGATGGAACTCAGGCCCTTGCACTTGCCAGGCAAGTGCTTATTCTATTGAGCCACCTTCCCAGCCAATGCTTCCTTGAGATTATTTTAGCTTAGTTACCTTCTCGGGAAGAGAGGTGCACTGTCTCTGGTATGATTCCAATTGTGTGAGAAACTCAGGCTAGTAGAGCCCAAAAAAGGCAAACTTAAACATTTTTACAGATTGTAGAGCCCATTCAGGTGTTTTTGCATTACAGTGGAGCTAAAAATTCATTTCACTTTGCAAGGAATAAAAGTCAGGTTTGTTTTGGGGGTTTTGAAGGTTTCTTTGGGATTGTGATTCCAAAGAGCAACTCCCTTTAAAGCTGGGAAACTCTGGGCTGGAGAGCATCTGACAGAAGTCATAAAAATGTTGAGTGGGCTTCCTAGTCACTCCACCTAGCACAACGGAGAGTAGAAGAGTATTTTTCTGTTGTTGTTTGTTTTTCATTTCTCAGGATATTTATTAGGAGTAGGATAAATTTACTGAAAGAAAAGCTTCTGTCTTAAGAAGGCCAGAAGGGGGCCTGGAAAGTGACTGCCCTGTGTTGGTTACTTTTCTCTTCTTGCAGAGGGAAAAATTAAGGAAGGAATGCCCCAAATTAAGGAAGAAAGAGTTTAGCTCACAGTTTGTAGAAGATTCTTTAATTTGGCTCCAAAGCAGGATGTGGCACAGGGGCAACAGTTCAAGGGGGCACGAGACAGCAAAAGACACAAGAGCGGAAAGGGAGAGCAAGCCTCTTTTTTCCCTTATATTGTAAGTGGGCCACACCCTGCCCCCAGGTACAGCGCTCACACCCTCTCCCTGCCCTCCTCTTATACCGGATGAGGATGTTTACAAAGCAAGGACCCTGGTCCCCTGCTGAGTTGCTTAATTAAATTCCTAAATTTCTCAAGTTGACAGAATGTATCAACCATTACACCTTCTCAGTTTACTTTTTTGACCTTCAATCAGTACTGTTTCATAAGAAGCTGGGGACTGCAGCCCATGGGGTAGTTGTAGCTCTTGTATTTCTCATTGACAAGCCTCCATTTTTACTCTTAATGCCACAAAAAGTGGCAAAGGAGACAACAGATAGGAGCATGCTTTCTCACTTCTGGCTCAGAGGCGGTATAAAGTTGATTTGTGGCCATATGTGTGATAATGGTTGAAATATTAGCTGGGTAAGAAGGATGTCAGGACCTATAGAGAATTTTTGAAGATTTGATTATGACCTGGAGGTCTATTTCCTGATCCCTTAATCATGTTATTTATATGCCAGCATAAACTATGGCAAGAGTGTTTTAGAAATAAAAACTTATGTCTTCATTCGTTTGTGGGGAAAAACAAAATACACATGAGATAAGACAAAAATTGACTTTTCCCCAAGAGCTGAAAATCTCTGTGATAGTGAAAATCCATAACTATATTCTGACACTGCGGGGTCCCTTTAGTTTCAGAATCACATTCCTGAGAGAAGGAAGAAAGAAAAAGAAAAAACTTCATTTGCCTTCTCTCTATTGGATCTGAAAGGAGTTATCTCACCTATATCCAGCTACCCTCAATTGTCACAGTTGTGTTACCATGGAAACTCAGCTCCTTTTCTTTCTTTCTGTGAAAACTGTTGGAATAGGTGGAATGAAGTGGGAGGTACGTTGCATTCTGGGACTTCTGATGCCAGCAAGAAGGAAATATGCACAGGATTTGCTATAAACAAATTAGAAGCTATTTGTAACATGATCAGTACTTCGTGTCTGAAGCACTCTAATTCCTAGTGGTCCCTTTGAAAGCCTGCATGTCTCTATTAACCATAAAATGGAAGAACAAGCCAAACACAGCACCTAGGAAATCCTGCTGGCAACAGTGAAGGGAGAAGATGAAATTTTCTTTGTGTCAAAGGTACCTAATATGTCAGAGAAACAGAAGTATCTGACGAATGGAAAAGAGGCAAAGCCAACTTGTTCTTTGGAAAACGTGATATGTCTTGATGGTTTTGCAAAGAAAAAGAATTACAATGGGAATATTAAGGGAGTGTACGAGAGCTCATGAAAGAAACCGACTGGTGGAGAAAATACATGTTTCAAAAGATGACTGTAAGCAAAAAACATTTCTGAAAGAAAAATTTTAATTATGAAAGCAGAGAGAACACAGGAAAAGCCTGAAGAATCCTCAGAGCTTGAGGGCACCGAGGACAGCAGTGCATGAGAGT